GTCTGTAGGTGTTTGTTTTTTTTTTTAAAACAGCTTTGTTGAGATATAATTTACATACCATACAATTCACCCACTTAAAGTACAGGTCTATTATTTAATTATCTTAAAAACTATGTCATACAAAGTACTGCAGACATTTGTCCTATATTTTCCAGGATAGTCCTGATTTTCAACAATCTTATTCTTTTCATTACAGATGATTCATTTACTATATAACAAAATGTTATTTCTGAATATTTGGGTTTTTGCCATAATAAATAAATCTCCAATGTTAAAACCTACAAACAAATTCACACCATGAGTTAGGTGCAGCCAGGCTAAAGAAATACCCCAGAGTGCAGGAAAGGATGCCAGAGAATCCTACAGGGAAGCAGGGGTGAAGGGCCCTGGGTAGAGTGCAGTGGCATCATCATAGCTCACAGCAACCTCCAACTCCTGGGCTCAAGGGATACTCCTGCCTCAGCCTCCTGAGTAGCTGGGACTAGAGGCACATGCCACCACGCCTGGCTAATTTTTTCTATTTTTGGTAGAGATGGAGTTTTGCTCTTGCTCAGGCTGCTCTTGAACTCCTAAGCTCAAGCAATCCTCCGGCCTCGGCCTCCCAGAGGGTTAGGATTACAGGCATGAGCTACCTCACCCAGCTCCTCTTCTTCCTTCCTTTCTTCCTTCCTTCCTTCCTTCCTTCTTTCCTTCTTTTCTTCTTTCTTTCTTTTCGTCTTGCTCTGTCACCTAAGCTAGAGTGCAGTGGCATCAGCATAGCTCACTGCAACCTCAAACTTCCAGGCTCAAGTGATCCTTCTGCTTCAGCCTCCTGAGTAGTTAGGACTACAGACATGAGCCATTGTGCCTGGCCAATTTCCTACAGGTCAAATAACTAGCCTGGGAACACATGGATGGTAAGTTGTCCAGTCAGGATTTGAACTCAGATCTCTGTGACTCCAAATCCCATAGATCACCTCACCTTGAAGAATGACTAAGATTTTGCCATGTGACACAGTCTAGGACATGACGGAGCTAAAGTTGACTCCAGACTCATTCACTTAATATTCTGAGTCTCAATGGTCCCATCAAGATAAAGGGGTTAACAACATCAGCCTAGTAAAATTGCTGTGAAGAGTAAAAATAATAAATGTAAAATGACCTGGCAGGTAAGCATTAGTGCTATTATCTATATTAATATTCATAAGGCTTTGCAAATGAAAGGAGTAAAGGAGGCTGGGAGTGACCTCCAGGACCCTCAACCTCTTCAGCCTTTTCAGTTATACAGATAGAGACACCACCCAAGTTGAGTTCAGCTTCCACCTCCTCCATGAAGCCTCCCAGGATTGTTCCTCCTCACCCTGGAGCCATGGGCTCTCCCTGTTCCACATGGGTGTGGTTTATCTTGCTAGCGAGGGTGCGCCTATAACATACTGGGGGCCAGCTTTGTGAAGGAGACTCCCTAACTCAAAAGTCAAGGGCCTTCCCCCACCATGCACATGCAAACATGTATGTGTTTCTAGATGAAGCTGGAAATCTCCCCTCAAAACTTAAGTCCTTTGGCTCCAGCCTTGCTCTTTGGAGGGCTAGGGATAAATACCCTGGGATGGGGCCTTGGGACCTTTCCTGAGCCCATTGATAAGGGGGAGCTGGGAGTGAATTTGAGATATCCTGAGTCCTGTTGGAATGGGACACTCTGAGGGCAAGAAGGAGGGGACCTCACAATGTTGCCCATGTCCCATTGCTCCATGTCACATAACAGAGCCCTGGCTACCCAACTTCTATGGATACCCATCCAGTTTGCTCTTATTTCTGTACCTCTCCAAGAGGGACTGCCTTTCCTACCAACACTGTGGACTCCAGGGCAGGAGGACTTGGGGGCCCCAGAGCAAGGTGGCTGGAGGTACAGTACAAGGAGAAGGGGACAGTGGGCTTATGGTGAGATCCTCCCCAGCGGTCCCTAAATGGCTCTTATCCTGTCTCCCTGCATCCCATCAATACCTAGGGAGGCCCCGAGTGACAAGATGGGCTTGGACAGACCAAGGGGGACAGAGAGGGATGAAAGGAAGGGGCTCACCTGTGGGCAGGGCTGGACACCCCAGGGCCAGGAGAAGCAGCAGCCATGTCCCAGCCATGGCCCACCCAGAAGGAGGCAGGACCCAGCTGCAGACCTGGGGAGTGGGCTGGGGGAGGAGGCACCCACAAGACTGCCTCCCAGGCCACAGGCCCAGCTGCACCTCAGCTGTTCCACCACAGAGCCGTTTCCCTGGGTGACGGGCCCCTCCTGCGCTCACCCCGGTCCCCAAACCCAATCCTCTCTCACAGGCCAGGGAGCTCAGGGTGCTCCTCCCACACCAGGACCCAGATGCCCACATTCCCTCCCATCCGAATAGCAATTCAGTCTGCAAAGCCTTTTCCCAGCCACTGGCCTTGCCAGAGGGCAACTACCATCCACAGGACATGGAGCACTAGGTGGCTACATGTTAGGGGCTTGGCATACAGCACTTTATTTGATCCACCCAACCACTGTGAAGTCCATTTCACAGATATGGCCACTGAGGCTCAGAGAGATTGAGTGACCTGCCCCAGGCCACACATCTGGCAGGTAGCAAAGCCAGGGCTTAAACCATTTCCTATGGTTGGCCTTATAGGCAAAAAGTTGTCCAGTAACTTCTTACAAAACCCCTTTCTAAAATAAACTTTTTTTTTTTTTTTGAGACAGAGCCTCTCTCTGTTGCCTGGGCTAGAGTGCTGTGGCGTCATCCTAGCTCACAGCAACCTCAAACTCCTGGGCTCAAGCGATCCTCCTGCCTCAGCCTCCCGAGTAGCTGG